CCCACATGCCGCGGAGCGGCTGGGCCTGTGAGCCATGGCCGCTGAGCCTGCGCGTCCGGAGCCTGTGCTCCGCAACGGGAGAGGCCACAGCAGTGAGAGGCCCACGTACGGCAAAAAAAAAAAAAAAAAAAGAATCCGTATTCAGGAAAGCAAAACCCCCTCACCAAGTCTGGGCCATCTCCATCTCAGTGGAAGGAAGGAAGACAGGGTTTAATCCACTAGTGATCAGAGAGCCCCAGTGGTCTTGCGCATCCTGCAAGGCTCTGCTTGGTGCCCTTTCTCCAGGAAGCCTGCCCTGACTGCTCAGCCTGTGTTAATTTCTCTTTTCTCATTTCCTCCTTCTCCCAGTATGGCTCAGAGTTTGTTCCCCAGCCATCTTGTGGATGGCAGGTTTGGGGACACTTGAGGCTGTCTAGAGAGCCAGGAAGAATACTTAAAATGATGATGATGGTGGTTATAATGGTAGCAGTTACCATAATTGAATGTTCACATGCCAGCCATCGCCTACGTGCGCTACATGCACAATCTCATTCAATCGTCCCAATAGCCCTTTGAAGTGTCAGTTGTCCCAATAGCCCTTTGAAGTGAAGGCCAAAGTGCTTGGGCTTCATTCTGGCTCTGCCTCTCCTCACTGATTGTGTGACATGGGGCAAGTGACTTAGCCTCTCTGTGCCTCAGTTTCCTCATCTCTGCAATGGGGATGAAGACAGTACCCATCTCACAGAATGGTTGTGAGCATCAGTTAACATATGTTAAGCCTTTAGGGCAGTGACTGGTATGGAGCAGCCTCTAAGTATCACTGTTGATATTATGATGACCTTCATTCTATAGACGAAGAAAGAGTGACTTGAGAGATAAGTGACTTTCCCAAGGTCAGACAGCTGCTAGATCACAGAGCCAGGACTGAGCCACCATGCCCAGTGCCCTTTCTCTTGTTGGCCCTCAGTCTGAGCACCAAGGATTACTAAATCACTGTATCTCCGAGCCGGAAGGGACTTTAGAATTAGTCCAGTCCCGTTCCCCTTGCAAGACAGGAATCCTTTCCACAGCACCCCTGCAAGGCAGTCCAGCCTCTGCTAGAACTGCAGGACAGGGTTCTCAGAGGGCAGGGACCACGCCTGCTTGTTCACCATTGTGTCCCCATGCCTGGCACGCACTAGACCCCCCCCGAAAAATACTTGAAATACTTGATGAATGTGTGAAAGAACAAACTAGGAGCTCTCCCCCATCCCCAATGTGGTCTGGTCATTGGAGGCCCGAGAGTCCCCCGTGTGAGGGTGTCAGAGGCTCCACCCCCCACCCTGTGACTGTCCCGCCCACAGCTCCTTTGCAAACCCCAAAGTGGCCCATCTATCCACAACACCCCAAGATACTGCTGCCTTTGCCTCTCATGGCCCTAATCCTTCCTCCATCCTCTAGGATGGTCTGCAGGGAAGGAACCAGCCCCCGGGCTTCCTGGGGCAGGTCAAACTAGAGACACATCTGCCCCATGGGCGTGAGGAAGCCAGGGCATGAGGCAGCCATGGGCACACAGCCCTGGAGGAGGTGGTGGTGCCAGCCGGCACGGGTACACCTCCTCCCTCATCACCCCTCTGTGGCTGCCACCTGCTTCAGGATCAGCTGAATCCCCTTCCCACTCCTCACTGCCCACCCACCCTCAACTGGGCTTTAGCTCCTCCTACTAGCTTGGAGGGCTTGTTCCAGACTTGATTCCCTCCCATGACCAGCTCCTCATCCTCTGTCATCTAATGCCCTGGGACCAACTCCATCTCTGCTTCTAAGTTCACTCCAATTTTTAGTCTTAGTCTGAGACACTGGTTCTCAGCAGGGTGTGATTTTCCCTCCAGGGCACACTTGGCAACGTCCGGAGATGTTTTTGGTTGTCATAAGTCGGGGTGTGCTACTGGCATCTGGTGAGTAGAAGCCTCTCTACCCCCATTCAGTTTCCCACACTTAACACCCCCTAGCGGGGGTTCTTTAAGAAGCCTGGCTGAGAAAGACGAGGACTCAAGCTTCCACGATTGGCAGCTATGCCGAGGCCAAGGCTCAGGAGAGGGCAGCCAAGTCAGGCCTGAGCCTTGAGGAAGCCCCACACAGCTCGCAGGGAGAGCCCAAGAGGTCAGCACCAGGGGCCTGCAAACCCCCAGGCTTCTGGCTCTTACCCATAAATGTCCACGAGGGTCTCCACGCCAGCCATACACAGGCACTGGTGGGATGCTCCAGGGACACTCGCAGGATCCTCTGCAGAGACATGCTAGCCTTGGGCTGGGCTTGGGCCACAAAACCCCTGGCATGTGGTTTAAAAGCCTTTGTTATAAAGCAGAAACTAACACACCATTGTAAAGCAATTATACTCCAATAAAGATGTTAAAAAATAAATAAATAAAAGCCCTTGGCCTTTCCCTTCCAGCCCAAGATGCTAATTCATTGGCTCCAGTCCTGGAAGCCCAGCCCCTTCCCAGAGCCAAGAGCTCAGGATTGGCTGGAAGGAACCCAATATTTGCATATGAACCTGTTGCTCCCACCCAGGCGCAGAGAGAGTTAATTTCTCACTTTAAGGGGAGCAAGTAAATACCTCGCCAAGGCACCAGGACCCTGGGGGGCGTGCAGGGATGCAGGGTATGGATCAGGGGACCCTCCTTGCTTTCCACACTCAGCCTCTTCACCCCTTTTTCTGCATTTTCAGAGATCATTGCTTTAGTGGGGAGTTTATCCTGATGGAGGAACTGATTAAAATGCAGATTCCCAGGCCCACCCTCCAATTTGATAAGCAGCCTGGCGACTGGAGTCTTTTTTTTTTTTTTTTTTTACAAGCATCCCTATAGCATTTTGAGGAACACCAACTTTTTTCTTAAGAGCATGGATTTTGCAGGCAGGACTGGATTTCAGCCCTGCCTCAGTTACATCCTGACTGGGTGACCAGGGGCAAGTCACTTAATTGCTCTGTGCCTCACTTTTGGCATCTGAAAAATGGTTGTTTTGAGGGTTAAAGGGGAAAACGTGGGTAGAGCTCTAGTGTGGAGCTCAGTATTATTTTATTATGGATGTTGTTGTTATTGTTATTATTGTTAGATGCCAAAAGCCTCTGGAAGGAGTTAGTGATAAGGGTGAAAACCCTCTCTGGCCAGGAGGAGCTTAGAATGTCAGAGTAGGAAG